TTAGAGTTGGATATGTGTTTTGAAGAACTACTAGACTTACTTGTGGTGGTGCTGGGGCGCGTTGACGCACAACGAGCGGTGGTGGCGCTGGTGGCTGTGGTGGTCGAACTTCTTTGATGATCAATGGACCGGGTGGGGGAATTGCAGGCTAAATAAAGACAAAAGTAGTTTAATGGTAAAGCCAACCTAGTAACGAAGTGTCCAAATTACCGGTTGCAAAAATCGAACCAGAATGTTTTGTTTATATGTGATTGCTCCGCCTAGAAAACAAAATTAAAATTAAATTTCACTGGTTTTTTCAGATAGATTAGTGGAAACATTGTAGTATCCAGTTACAGTATTTATGATATTCCTTACTGAAATGTTAATATTTTCTCTTACTTTCATCTTGCAAGTTATTCGAGATCAGTTTACTGTATAAAGTAGTTAGGCTATTCAGTTAATAATTTATACTGTTTGCTATGTGTCGATACTACTAATTTCTGTATAATCTATGAGATGACGAATAGAAACAAATGTACCTACCTGGTGCTTGTCGTCTGATTATTTGTGGATTTGGATCTTGAAATAAGCCTTTGGCGTCGGTAGCATATTGTTGAACAGAAGTGGCTTGTGAACTACTTTCAAATGACGATGCTGCTCCGCCCGATTGAGTAAAATCGGTTTGACCAAATACACCATTTCCATAACCTTGACCAGTAGTATCAGTACCTCCTATTCCGGACGCTGAATAAGATGAGCTTTCAAAACTAGAAGATCCGTAACCACCTGATAAATCGCCTGTATTACCATAACCACTTGTACCAATTTGCTCGTATCCCCCTTGTCCGAATCCGCCTTGTGCCCCGAATTGACTACTCACATTTCCTCCGTAACCCGCTGACGATTCATACGCGCCTGATTGGAATGACGATTCTTGATAGCCTCCAGCTCCAGCATCCCCACTATATCCCCCATAACTTGATCCTGCAAAGCCAGATCCATCACTAAATCCCTGTTGACCACCACCACCACCACCAATGTTTTGACTTACAAGATTTCGAAATTCATTTAAATCCAACCTATTGTCTTTGTTCGTATCTGCTGCTTGAAACAAGGCATTGGCCATAATATTGTCTTATACTATTAGAAGTTTCTGAGCTATAGTTGAAATAAATGAAAGTAACAGAAACTGATGTGTGGTTTGTGGTATTTAAATCAGCGCTCAACATGTCCTTTTTTCGTTAAAATCATTCAACCAAACAAACCACATACAGTTAAAAATCTTTCATATTCAGCAGCTCGGCAGAGATTTTTCTTTTTTTTTTAGATGATTGATAATGGTACATGAGTCTGCATGTGCGTAATTAAGAAAAAAAATGTCGTTGGACTAGTTTTTTTCCATCGTGATAAAAATGTTGTAAAAGAGGATGTTTACAGCCGAAAAAATTTTATCTGGTGTACATACGGTGATCATAACAACAAATTTGATTTTGACAACTTTTACTGATATCTTCAGGTAGATAAATAATTATTACCTTCACGGTTCTATGAAGCAAACCTTCCATCGCATGAAACACTATGCAGCTGATGCATCCAAGTTTCGGTCTGTCTATCGAAATGTCGTAAAAGCTAATTGTACCTAAATCGTGCTAGTAGAGTAAGAGTACGAAATTTAAAAATAATTAGCATACAAAACTGATTTGATTACGTTAGGTCGAAATAATTTCTTTCAAAGACAACAGTTTTAGCAGTGACTTACAGTAGCTATTTGTCTCAGTCTCAAGAAGGCACTATAACGCCAAAAAGGACTATCGTCGCTCCTTTGAACTACCCACGTACAAAAAAAAAATTGTGCATCTAGCTTGCAGCTAGATACGAAATTTGTTTTTGTGCGTGGGTAATCAATGCTATCCCAATGATTTTAAGCTATTCATTACTGTTCTAAAATATTGTGTTTTAACGAAAAGAAAAATATTTAATAGAAGAGGACAGAAGATTCCCTCAATCAGAGCTGGGTAAGTCAGGAGTTTTGAAAAGTCAAATCGAGGTCAGAAAATTTTTTCTCCCAAGTCAAGTCAAATCATCTCTTAAAATTTTTTCCTCCAAGTCAAGTCAAATCATCTCTTAAAATTTTTTCCTCCAAGTCAAGCCAAGTCTAGTTAAAATTAGGCAGAACATTAAATTTGCTAGCACTTTTTTGGGTCAGAGAGTTTTTATAGCCTTACAAACTCTCTTTCATGGTGGAAAAAGTCTAATTTAAACGAGAATCTCTTACTAGGAATGACTTGACTTGAAAAAGATTTCTCAAATCAAGTCATACCCTCAGAAAATTTTGGACCAAGTCAAGTCAAGTTAAATCTGACTTGACTTGACGTGGACCTGAGGCATTTTTGACTTGACTTGCCCAGTTCTGCCCTCAACAGTGGATTTAGAGGAATGGGGCAGGGAGTTAGCATCCACTGCTGTCTTCTGAAAAGTTTTTTCAATTTTTTACAGCATTTTTCACAGCAGAACTTGCAAAATCGTATGCTGAACTTTTGTATTCATTGATATAATGAGGTTTTATCTTTTTTAAAAAAAAGATTTCTCTAACTGGCGTTTATTGATCGGGTTTGTGATAACTGTTAGCTAAACTTTTTATGTATTTCGGGAACATTTTAACGATATATTTTAGATTTAGAACTAGATTTAGTATGCAACAAGAGTACATTGTTTGCTACCAAAAAGTTTCAGAATATTTATAATAACTACTTAATTAAAGCCCCTGTATAGTCGAAAAAAAGTATTTCATTTATTTAGTTTGACGATGTGGCCATCTAACGGTCCCCTTCAAATCAGAAGGTTTTCGAAAAAACATTTATCCGATCTGATTGAAAGGTACATAATTAGATGCAGCTTTTTGTGCTGATCACGAATATCAACTTTAAAAACTTTCAAAATGGAATTTCAAAGTTCAAAACTCGAATTTAAAATGTTAAAATGTTCTAATTTTAATTTTCTGATCTAGACATTTTCTTGGACGTAGACGTTATCCAGTGATCAATTAATTAATATTATGTACAAAGTTTCATATGCATATTTTATCTTTTGAGTGATTAAAAAATGTATTGAAGGACAAAAAAATAGTCATTATACAGTCGCCAACGTTCATTTTACCATATGCCTTTTGTGGTAGGGATTTGTTCACTCCTATCTTGTTTTTTTGTGTGGTTAGCAGTTGCTTTTAGTCATCACAAGAGATCAGACTAGTCTATCTAACAAAAACAACAAAAAACAAGACAGACAAATAGTAGCAGTATTCCACACGTGAGCTACTGACATTTAAAATAGAGATACATTGGTCATTTTTTACTAGACAGCGGACATTAAGTTTTTTATCATCGGAAATGATCGTTTTTGAGTTAGAATGACTCTTTATTCTGAATATATAACTTATAAAGAATAAGTATTTAAAAAATGGGACGAATTGAGACTAAATACAGGGATGAATTAGTCCAAAATAAAATAAGTACAAAACTGATCATTGAAACCTGAAAAAGATGAAAAAAGATGATATTTCTTCGATATTTTGATTGTGCTCATATACTCGGCTGACCGCAAAACAAAACGGTGAATGATTAGCTGTAAGCCGTTAATACTAATTCTAGTACTCAACGCGAGGGCTCGAGCCCTCGGTGAAGGCCCATCGAAAGCACATTTCCGAGCACTCGAAGTACCCTCGAAAAACTGGTTTGGTAACTGGGGGAGTACTTTCACTAGGGAAGTTTGACAGAAATCGAAAAAAGTAAACCTCTGCTGAATTTAAATGATTATCAGTTTACAAAAAAACGACGTTAAAGTTAAATATAAGACAACGTATGAAGAATAAGTATTTAAAAAATGGAAAGAATTGAGAGAGAAGAAAATTGGGGCGAAATGAGAAAAGATCTCTGGATATAAAATGTTGCTATTGAATACCATTAGGGAAACGCATACATCGGTTCTATTTACTCCATCTGTAAGTGTCGAAATGAAACTTTTTGTTTCATATTCGTATATGAAAAAAGAACGGTGACATATCTTGGAGTGAGAACAGATTCGAATGAAGTAGTTAAAAACGTACTTAATTACAATACTCAATTTTCTTGTTTCACGATTCTTCTTTCGATAAGTGCTGTTGAATGGATTCCTTGAATTCTCGCGTAAATAAGGGGTTCGAAAAATACAAAAATACCTGTGATCAATGTTCTAGAGAGTTTTTTAAATAGACGTTTATTTCCTTCTCACATAGAATTTAAGGGCTAAAATCGGTTTTTGTCGCTTTATTTTATTTCCAATCGGTAAACTGTCATGTAATTGTAGACTATACATTCGAATATATAGTCAATTGAAAGTGCGACATAAAACAAATTAACGCTGTAGAATTAGTAGAAATGTTAGTAGATGTTAGTAGAAAACGAATATTTTGTCAATAATTACTATAATAAATTATAATATGATCATATTATTCCGAAAAGAGTGTAGCAGTTAACAAAGTGTACACTATACACTGTTTCATTCATATATTGACCTTGTTTAAATTAATTCCTTTCTTTTCTTAACGATCATCCATCAAGACAAAAAATATAAACGCAATTTTTCTTTTATCCCATATTATATCGTAGAGAACTGAAAAAAAAAACAAAAAAATATTTAAATTTAAATTGAAAGTGATTGCTAAATGTACAAAACAAAACAAAACAAAAGTGACGTAATAAAAATGTGGTCATGGTTCATATCTTTTTAGTGAAATAAAATTTCAAGTTTATAAGTAATTTAAAATATTGTTAGGCTTTTACAAGAAAAAAATTGTGGACACCTTAGTTTTTATTATTTTCTCTTAATAAAAATGACAAAATTATCTATTATTAATAGATTTATTTTAGAAAAATATTTTTGTCAAGTAAGAAAGTCTATAATAAAGAAAAATTCTTGCTTTCTCGTTTCTTTAACAATTAATTATTATTGAGAGAAAAAGTTAGCTTGTGCTAACTGATCTTCTATCGTTTCTTTAATGTTGACATGACACGAAAAGGTATTCTCTCGTTTCGTTCCGTCTCATTTAGTCCCATACTTGTTTCGTCCCCTCTCGTTTCGTCCCGTTTATTTTCTATCGTTCTACTCATTTTATAACTATTCATTTTTTTTCTATCAGCTGTATAATAATCAATATTTATATAATTAATTAACATAATGTAAGAAATTGATACATGACTTTATAAGTTATATTTATTATTTTATTTACGAGTTACAATGAAACAGATAATTTTACAGTATTAACACATTTGCCACATTTAATTACAACTTCAGTTCCAAACAAAGTACCATTTTCATATCTTTTAAAATATTCCTTCAATTAATACTGTAAAATTACCTGTTTCATTGTAACTCGTAAATAAAATAATAAATGTAACTTATAAAGTCATGTATCAATTTCTTACATTATGTTAATTAATTATATAAATATTGATTAGTATACAGATGATAGAAAAAAATGAATAGTTATAAAATGAGTAGAATGATAGAAAATAAACGGGAGAAACGGGAGCTAATTAAAAAATACGGGACGAAATGAGAGTAATCCGCACGAAAACATAATCAATGGAATGTACACTTTATAAATTAACTTATAAAACTTGTAACAATTGTTATTCCGGAAAGAAACGAGCATAGAAACCAGGATCATTACTGAGGTTTTATTTACACACTGTGACTGTTGTCATTCATGTTTTATATAAAGTAGGATGTAAATTTAGCTATGTGATTACAACAATAACCTCGTAAATTAGGTTTAGTTTACTTTTAAACATACGCAATTTATTATTAAAATTATTTAGAAGAAATTGGTTAACTTCATAATTAAAAATGCAGGAACATAATCTTTAGAAGGATTGCAGTAAACAAAAAAAGAGAGACATGAATATTTTAATTTGTCGTCCCAGAAATAGTTTTTTTATTCATCAGAGCACCTTCCAGATGATCAAACTCTTTTTAATTAAAAGCAGGTTTTCGAAAGTAAATCTTGATGCTAATCACGAATTTGGTATTCATTTGGGTTTTCACTACCTGTCTTCAGAAATCTGATCGCTAGAGATCTATTTCATAGTT